TACTTTCATTTGATTATGTACAGAATATAGGCTCCTAATGTTAATCTGCTGAAGTTCAGTAAAGTTAAATGGCTACATAGCCTATTAAGAGTGATAATAAAAGGGTAAGATTAAGATACTCCCCCAAATAAACCACTTCTCCTAGCTGTGAAGTAGGATTTTTCTGTAAAAATGTCCTGGCCAGAGAGCCAGCTCAGTCACAGCAAGTGTAGCTGGTGCTTATAAAGACATTACCGGCTGCAAATGAAGTTCAGAGTCATTTCCTGGGAAACCCCACTTTTTCTGCCTTCCTACCTTGTAACTTAGTGAAGTTTATTGAAATTGGTCATAATTTTCGAAGATTGTGAGAATGCAAGTAAGACATAAACTTGTCACAGAAAGAATCACTTGTGATGAGACAAGTGTAACTTGGTATGTGGTTTTCACATACAAGGTTCATCCTCAGTGTTCGGACTTCAGTTTCATTATGTTTGAATCCAGGCTCCTCATTCTCAGGAAATTGTAGTTGCAAGACCATTGCAGAGTTTACAAACACATTTGGGAGTAAGTATTACTAGAGTGCTAATTGAACAATAACTTTTCAATTTATGAGATGTAAATGGCTTTCTCTAAACACCGCATGTAACATTAGTAATAAATTGTTGACATGACATTTAGCCTGCTTAAATGAAAGCAAAATCTCTCTAGTATATCAGGTATTAGGGGCTTATGTTATAAAAATAACCCCAAAGTGTGAGCACTGCATGAGTAATTTTCTATCCATATCTATTAAAGCTCTAGGAATTGGAAAAGTGTCAGTGTGAACAGTATGTAACCACCTTGCAGCTTCAGGGAAGGGCAGCAAAAATAAAGGTGTGGAGTAGCTTCCATATGAGGAACTAATAAACTGGGAAGAAATCTTCTGAGGGGAAGAAAAATCTGACTGAGGGGAGAAAAGAGGACAGGGAAGAGGTGAATATGGATGAATTTCCTGAAGCTTTCAATACAAGAATTAGAGAATATCAATACAGGCAAGAGACAGATTTAGAAAGACCAAAATGAGATATTTCTTCATTTAACTCTCACATAAACTATAGAATACTTTGCTACAAGTTGATGAGGATCCTAGAAGGTTAGTGTGGCCCCTGAAACAGGGATAGTTTGACTTCCTTGACTAATCACAAAATGTAAATGCCTGGGAAATAACGAAGGCAAAAATCTGTCAGATCAAGACAGATGTACATTTGCACAAAGTCTTTGTCTAACCATGTGATTATTGGCAAAACTATAGCAAACTCTTAGAAATATTTTAATGGATTAACCCAGGTGAAAAGTTGCTGTATACAGTACTTGCTCTCTTCTCCCAGTTCTAGTTACAACTGACAAGAAACTGGAAGAATACAAGTAATTATATACAAACTGAGAGCTTTGATGGTTTATTTCAGGATTTTAATCATTTATTGAAATATTGTTCTATGCTTTTTGTAGGAACCAAATTAATTTATATTATTTTACTCATAAGATGTCTTCACTACGCTCAGCTCCACAGGCTAGATCAAATGAAGAAGTCTTGGGTGCTAGTTAGGAGCCATGACTGTATTTCACTTGACCTCTTAGCACCATATTTATGCGTTTGTGTATGTGACTTCTCTTTGTCAGAAGAGATTTTAGTCTATTGTGTTAATTATATTTAGTATCCAAAGGCTGAGGGACACAGGGTAATGGAAATATTGACAAGTCTGGTTTTAAGCCCTAGGTTGTGAGTTTTAATATTGAATGATTGCAAAAGAAGGACTTACGGGAAGCTAATAGAGGTTGCTCTTCACTCAGCAGAGACCGAAGGAAAAGTCTTGGTGTTGCAAAGGCTTTTACGTGGATTAAAAGCACTACTGTGTCTGCCTGGAAAAAAGTCTTGCTGCAAACTGGGCCTATTTTCTTCAAATGATCTCCAAGGAAACAGCCTCTCCCAAGCTAGGATCTGATTACCAGTTGCAGGCCTCAGACCATAGGCATTATTGTTTTAACATTCCTGCCTTCCTCTTTATCCCAGCGTGAACCAAGCTGCAAGGGCTGCTCTGTAACTTGACCTTGGTTGGAGATAAAAAGACAGGTTAGCACCCAGCGATCACAAAGACGGAAGCGAAAAGACAGTATTTAGAAGATAAAGGAAGGAGCTCACACTGTATGATTATGTGTAATATTCTACGCTGTGCTATGTGGGTGGCCGGTTGAATGGCTTTCTTCCCTGAAACCCAGACAGAAACTTGGAGTTTGCCATAGTTTCTCCATTTTTTAAACTCATCCTAAGGAAAGAAACGTGTTGAGAGCTTTTTTGGAGAAGCAAAATAAAGAGTAAATCACAAAGCAGCTGGAGCTGCAGGTGAGTCTTAGTTTATGCCTTTGCTGCAACATTAGGTCAAGAAAATGAGGGGACCTATCACTAACTTCAGTTAAGCCTTAAACCTTAAGTTGTGTTGTCTTTTGCACTGCCTGCAAAGCATTCAGTTTGCCAGACATTATGAAGTGATTACATTAGCAGGTGTTAAAGACACTGGAGTGGCAAGCAATATTTTCCCAGAAGAAATGTAAATATTCTTGTGTGCAGCTGTGAGATCGGTTTATAGCCATGCACTGCTCCATGACAGGTCCTCCTTTGGAGGTTCGGGGGATCTAATCACTGGCAGCCACGACTGCTTTGGAAGCAAGCTCCTTCCCTATCCCGTCCACGGCACCTGGGTATAAGTCCCTAACTTAGGTGGTTTGAATAGCCCCCGAGAGCAATTCGTGACATTCATCTTGCTGTCTGAGTGAGATTCCTCAGGGATATAGCCTACACCTGGTGTTATTTAGTAATCTGTGGGCTGATGAGTAGCAGTTATATGTCTTAAATTCACAGATGGTAGCAATCTGAGAGAGGTCCAAGGATGAGAGAGGACAGGAGTAGAAATCTAAGATGTTGAGAAATTGGAGGAGCAGAAAGAACACAGTTCGCTAAGAACAAAATCAGAGAGGAACAATCAGCTGCACATAGGGGGAAATAACAGAACCACAGTTCCATAGAAAAGAATTGGAAATTGGATGGCACGACTGAAAACAAGTCAATAAACGCAGTAATAAAGCCACGATGTATAAAAAGGTGGAGATCTGGAATGCTGCCTCTAATTTTAGGTGCTACCTTTAAAGAAAAATAGACAGTTGGACATGGATGACCATGATGGTCAGAGACCTATTAGACCTGTGAGGAATGGCTGAAGGTACTGAAAAAGAGTAAACCTGAGTGAGGCACACAGCTGGCTTCAGTTATGGAAAACAGTACCTTTAAAGCAAGAGGAAAGAAATGGTTCTCCATGCCCACTGTGGAGAGGAGAAGAGTAATCGTTTAAAATCGTTGGCAAGGAGCATCTAGTTTAGCCATTAGGAAGACGCATGAAAGCAGATAAACACTGTAACTGTGGGTTTTAAGAAGAGGCTAGATTAATTTCTCTCAGGAATTATATAAATATATTTGATCCTGTTATTTGGCATCAGAGCTGTCTTGAGGTTTCTCTAGGCCTGTTTTGCTTTGTTTCTCTGGGCTTTCCTTGCAGACAAGCCTATAAGCACAGAGGGCAGCAGCAGAAAGGCATTAAATGCCTTGGGTTAGTGTGTCTCAGGGATGCTGAAAAGTAAATGGGCAGGGATTAAACATTCAGTATCTAATAATTGAAAGCTATGTGAACAAGAGGGAAGAGAGGTTTTGTTATGATCAGCCACAAGTGCTCGGGCTGGTAGGACAGCTGTGCACGGCACAAATAGTTACTGTCAGAACCAGACTAAACCACTGGTGCCAAGGTCAGGCAGTCCCAGGTAGATCATGGTGAGGCAAAGCCAGGGATACTCTTCCTTTGGGTGGTCTGAGCCACCATTTGGAATAAAACAAAACACAACTAATGCTTGTTTGCTGCTTCTGTGATTTCATAAAAAAATTAAGCAAAACACAGTAGAAACAATTTTCTTTTCATATCAGACCATATGGCAGATAATAGATACCTGAGATTTTCATTGCTGATAACTTCACACATAAGCGTGAATAGAAAACGTGATTTTTGTGACCAGAAAGTTTGCAGACACATAATACTATGTCATTCTTCACACATCCTCAGTTTCTCTTCTCTCTCTCTCTAGGATATAACCTCTTCAGAATAAGGACCCTCAGGGCGCTCTGATCACAATTAGAGGCCTTTAGGGTTATTACAGCACATGTCAGAGTGAAGAATTGCAGCTCACTAGACTCTAGTTATGTAGGGGGTCTGGCTGCAGATGCCCTAATTGCAGCCTTTATTTCATCTTGCCTTTCTTTTAATCAGTTCCTCAAAAATACCCATGATTCTGATCGGACTAGGAACATAATGGTACATCCTGTAGTGCCCGGTCAGCAGGACTGATGTTTTATCAGTGGGGGGAACTGGTGCTGGCGATGAGGTGCAATTTGCAGCATTCCAAATCCTAATTAGATTTTTCAGCTATGTTTTATACATACCAAAATACATTGCACATCAGGGATCTTTGTATCTCATTGAGATCCAAACCAAGGATTAAGCTGCTTGGGCCCGTAGCCATGTGGGCTACAGGCTTCAAACTGAAGCCCACTGAAACTGAAGTATATACCTGCACCCACCTCAGAAATTCTTGAGCTTCTCAATAGAAACTAAGAATTAGTTTGTGTGGTGTGTTTAGAGAGCATTTTTTCCTCATCATTTTGCCTTCTGTGAACTGCAGTGCTCAGGAATGACCAAAAAAAGCAAAAACCCGAAGGACCAGCATTAAGCCTGGTGAGAGCACCCTGCCACAATTAAATGCTTGTGATTCAACTACCTGGTAGAACACGAAGTGACTTTCTTTGTGCTTTTCTTTCCTTTTTTTTTCCCCTGGGGGACGCCTGTTTGGTGCGTCCAGCCTGTGGCTGGCGGCTGCCGCAGGAGGCCACGCGCTGCTCTCTCGCTAGGGGAACCACAGGAGGCAGCAGTTCGAGCTCGAGGTCCATGAGCGATTGCATGCTAGCAGAAAGGAAGGCTCACCCGCCCGTTCCAGGCACCCAGGAAATCATACTGTGGATGGGCGACCTCCTCAATCCTCTGCACATGCTGCCTCTGTACCCTGGGAAGTTCTTTCCTTCACTCACATCCGTGTTGACCATATCAAAGTGTAGGTGGCCTTAAAGGTTTTGTAAAGTGTGCCCAATTTTTGAACTCTTCATCTGGACTTTTTTTTCCAAGCCTACGTCTGTCACTGGGCTGGAGAGACAAAATGAGCTCATAGAAAGTCCCAAATATATTTGAGCTCCCGCCCCTAATTCCTAAGAGACCCTTTTTAAGAAAAAAAAAAAGCCTCATGAGCTTATTTTATTTATTTTAAGTAAGCTTTTAAAATATACCCATTTTACAGGGATAAGACCCAGAACTGGTCTTATCCTGTTCCAGTTTTCTAGTCAGCTTTGCAAGGAACATTTTCCCCGTGTTTCTGTGGCCCGTGGGTGCCCTGATGGCCAGCTCTTCTCTCTGTAGCCCAGTAGCTCAGCTGGTGGAGGTTGGGGCTCAGTTGCTTTCTCCTGTCATGGCCTCTTGCTCAGAGGTGCCTTCTCTGTGGCACAGCTGTCAGGCCTTTTTCTTGGTGAAGCAGCTCCTGTTTTCTCTCAGCAGGATTCTGAACACTGCTGAAGATGTCATAGAGAAACAAAGAATTATAAGGGTGCTAGCAGCAGGACAGTGGGGAGAATAAATGACAGAATCACTAGAAAGAAGAGCTTGCTGGAAGTATGAAAAACAGGGAGTGAAAGGTTTATGTGGAAGAGATAAGCAATACATTTTTACAGTGGCAAGCTGTGAGGAAAGAAGGGCAAGGGGAAGGAAAAGGGAGAAGGAAAGGAAAGCAAGGAAAGAAATTCAAAAAAAAATCTAGAAGACATGACTGGCTAGAAAGAGAGAAAAGAACAAGACATATGGTAGATCTCTGAATGAGGCAGGAGGATGACATTTTTGCTAAATTAGAATACAGAGATGATGGATGATAATAATAGGCTGAGTCTGGGAGAAGAAAGCAGTGAGCACGGAGAGGAACAACTAATGAGCAGACTAAAGAACTGCAACTTCTCTTATGGTGTATCTTGGAAATCTGGACTGGGAAAAAAAACTCCAGGACTGTCTTACCTGGGAACAAAATCCCATCCAGCAGAATTACGTGCAACTTTTCTTGGGTCTGGAAAATCACTGTTGTGTTTCTTTCTCTGCAGTTGACAGACCTGTCAGAGTGTATGCAGATGGGATATTTGACCTCTTCCATTCTGGCCATGCTAGAGCTCTTATGCAAGCCAAAACTCTATTCCCAAATAGCTACCTATTAGTAGGAGGTAAGATCAGAGTTATTTATTGTGCTGTATTTTTGTTTCTGTGCTTCAGCAGCCAAGAGCTATTGCAGTGCTCTCACCCCCAGCTGTTTATACACCGTGACTTTGAGTGCTGCTTTCTCTCTGCAGGCTTTCTGTAGGCTATTTGCCCTGAATTACATCTTAGAATTGCATCAATTAAAGTAAAAGTCAAATTCTGCCCTCAGCAGCGCAGGTACAATTCCCGTGCTGGTCTAAGCAAGTGGCTGCATGACTCTGAGCTTAGAATAGCTCCGTATGAATAATTCACCTTTTTCACTTATCGCTTCAAAATTGTTCAAAGATGGAGATGAGTGAATGAGAGCAGCCGCTCCGTTATTCCTGGCTCCTCAGTCGCAGCCCTGGCAGCCCCATGCAGCCCCTTCCCTGGCCACCAGGGCCTGGGGCACCAGGGAAGCCCACCAGGCGGGTTAGCATTGCACACCTAAGCAGGGCACAAGATTTGGAAACATTTTTCAGCTCACAAGTGTGGCTAGATGTGTAACTCTTCGTTTTACTCTGTGGGTATCTCCTGTTCTGCTGTCTAGCCTGCTAACAGACGTTCAACAGTTGGGATATGCCAGACAAGTCACCCGGGTGTGAGTGAGCTTCCTGCCTGGCCGGCTGAGCGAGCACTGCTCTCGCGAGGCCTCCGCGATACGTGTCCCAATTGCAGTTTCCCAGTGCCTTTGGGTTTGAGATGTGCCTCTCATTCACATTTCACAGCAGAAGTAAACTGCTCAGCTGCTTACAGAAGTGATGCTGAAGAGGCCGAGTGCCATGTTCACGCGCTTTCTGACATGCATTATTTTGTATCTCTGTCCCAAATCAGTGAAAAAGCTGGGAAAAAAGTAAGATGTACAGGAAAAGCTAAACCTCCTTCTTGTAAACACAGTCTTCAGTTTTATCCTTAAGTTAATGAATTATGGCAATTCAAAAGTAGCTTCCTGGGAGGGAAAGGAGGAGACAGCTCAATTCAATCAAAGAAATGTTAAGGACTCTGTATTACTTTCTCACTGAGCCAGACAGCTGACAGGAGAAGCCAGTGAGGGTGCAAGATTGTGAGGCTTAAAAGCTGAAAGCTGTGGGGGTTTTATTTCATTTTTAAAGATGTGGGGGGCAATTGTTACAGATCCTGGAAGGAGCTCTGGGGCAAAAGCCTGACTCCTTTCGAATTCATCGTCTAGTTCTCCTTTTTCCTTTATTTTCTGAGAGAAGGACAAAGCAGCCAGCATTCATCAGCACCTTTTGCCAGCAACGCACTGTGTCTTAGCATGTGTAGAGAGAATGGGCACCTCTGCACAGCCACGTACAATTCGTGCTGCAAAAGCACTTCTGTCATGTGCCTTTGTGGGTGCATGTGTCTCCCCGCCCCCCCAGCCCCTTTTATTTCTTGTTACAAAGGATATCATTTGGAGCTTTTATTTTTTTAATACATGTTTATGTCTTCCCAAATCAGTCATTAGAGCAAGGTGACAGAACCAAAAGGAAATACAGACCCATTGCTCATCTGCACTGAGCATAAACGGTAATCAAAAATGAAATCACTTTTCTACAGAGTTTGAGCAAATGTACCATTTTCCGATAATTTTGGTAGAGCTTTTCTTCCAGGAAAGCTCAACTTTAAGGTGACGTAAAGACTTTAAGTAAATAAAAATACAATCTCAGAATAGATCTTTCTACTGAAAATGCTTTGATCTCCATTAAATTTCTTGTCAGGAGGCATCAAAATGACATGCTAGGATGAGAGCAGCATTTCTCCAGCTGAAGTTCCTAGATATATGAATTTGTGGCTTTGAATTTTGTGCAAACTTCAGCCCAAACTAAGCCCTGCTACATTTTTACCTACTTTAAAGATCTTTAATGACCATTACAGCAAGAATGTGCATTCTAGGTCTCAAAAAGACTATCTCTCACCAGAGCCCTGTCTGATGGGCAGATGTTTTCAAATCAGAAGGCAGCACCAGGTATGGGGCTGCTCCTGCACTTCCATGCAGCACCGGCAATGTTGGCTTTATTTCACCAGGGATGTTTGCTGCTTGTCCCGGTGTCTTTGCCCAGTGAGAGGCAAAGGCACACACAGGCTTCACCTGTGGTGAAGCACAGCAACAGTGAGCCCAGCTACACCAGGTATTGACTTACTTTGTGTGGAGAGGTGACGGACAGTTGTAGCTGTAACTCTGGACAGAGATACAGTCAAGGGGACAGGCCACTTTTATGTATGGAATATTAGGTGGGTAGAGGCATAATGCCAATTTTTATAGTCAAAACATTGTCACGTGCAGAGTTAAAGGTGCAGGATTTCTGAACTGTTAACGGTTTGCTCTCTCCACTAAAGCATATGGTTTCCCACAGTCCTTGTTTTCTATCAGTGCTTGTTTTGTGAGAAAATGGTTTGCTGTAATTTAGAGCTGTGCTGGTAAATTAATCATTTTTATTAATCACGAGGGAAAAAAAGCTTTTTTACTGTGAGGGAGATCAGACACTGGCACAGATTGCCCAGAGAGGCTATGGAGCCTCCGTCATTGGAGATACTCCAAACCCAACCAGACCCAGCATGGAGCAGCCAGCTCTGGCTGACCCTGTTCCGAGCAGGGTGGGACTAGCTGGGCTCCAGAGCTGCCTTCCCACCTCAGCTTTTTGGGGGCATGTTAATTTTGTGAGCGCTTTTTGACTGTTGACAGCTCACTTTTCTGTTTGTTTTTAAAACACTTCTTCACCCCTGAAATTTTACAGGCCCTGAAATCTCCACTTACAGCAGGTTGAGTCCCCTTACGCACGATACCGGTTGAGATGTGCTCTCTCCCTTGAGCTCTGGTTGCAGCTGCGGGAAGCCGGAGGCTCTCTCCCAGGTCTAGGGCTGTATCTGCTGAGCCTGTGCAGATCTCTCGCATGCCCTGGAGTGCCCAGAATGGCACTGAGTGCTTACTTGAATTATCAAGACTTTATTAACTGTTGATCATGCTAATTGTATTAGATGTAGAGCTGTTTTGTTGACACTTTCCTATTTTAGTTTGCAGTGATGATTTAACTCATAAATTCAAAGGCTTCACTGTGATGAATGAAACTGAGCGATACGAAGCCCTCAGACACTGCCGCTATGTAGATGAGGTCATCAGAGATGCACCCTGGACACTGACACCTGAGTTCCTTGAAAAGCACAAGGTACATCCCCCCCAACCCTGCCTTCCCTCCATAGGCTGATGGTTGCAAATAAACTGTAAGCATGTGAAATTCTATTAGCTGGAGCAAATAATTTGGTTCAGTTAATTCCAGCCACTGGAATTGGGTATATTGCATTGCTTCCCTTTGTCAGAAGATGATGGCTTTATGAGAAGATGTTCTACTTTTCTTGCTCCCTTTTTTGTTTCCTCAGTCTGCTGGCCTGATTTCTGTAGCGGAATTTTTGAATGGCAAAATGACACTGAAGAATTATCCATATATTGCAAGTGCAGGAAGGGAGCTCATGAACCAGGAATGCTATAATGTAATGACTGAAGTCCTGTAAAGTCCTGAAGTAAAGGCATAGTTCCTGTTAACTGCAACATGTGCAATAACTGGCCAAAGATGTACAGAAAAATGGCAGCAGCTGAAATGTATATAACTATTCTGACATGCTCTTGACTGTCTTACAGTCATATAGCAATGTCAACAAAGCTGTAATAAACTAGAATTTATTTTAGTGTCCACGTCACTGTGTGATGAATGTACAGCAAGACAGTTGCTAGGAGCACTTGCGTATATCCACAGACCCAAGGAAGCAGCATCCTAATCCTGCCTCTGCAGTTTTTAAAGTTGGCTCTTTGCCACTTGGCTTAAGCGCTCTTCCAGTAGCAATAAAGGAAAGAGGTGGCTTAGATTTTCTATAGAACATCACCCAGAGACTGCCAGAGCAGTGTGTTAACATCAGTGCCTCTGGACACGAGTTTCCTCTTCTTTCAAACTGACCATAGATCGTAAGGGCTGTAGACATAAATCAGGTGCAGAATTTTAGGATAAGATGCAGTCAGGAAAAGATAAGATCATCCTGAAGGAAAAAACACCACTGAACCAGAATTTAGTGATGGTGGCCTGTGATTCTTCTGTTTGCTTGCAGATTGACTTTGTAGCCCATGATGATATCCCATACTCCTCCGCTGGCTCGGATGATGTATACAAACATATAAAAGAGGCAGGTAAGGGTGCCTTGAACTCTGTTGCTGCCTTTTGATTGTGGCTGCTGGGAGAGAAGCCATAGAAATAATGTCACATTCTCCACCCTACAGTTAGTTATCACGAACTTAGGCAGAAGGATTCTCTTTGTAAAACCACAAAGGATCTGCTTGGCTGAATTCCTACCACAGCCCTCATAAAACCACTCAAAGAAGTCACAAAAGTCCCCTCTGGCTTCATCAGCAACATCAGGACCCTCCACTAACAAGTCTGAGCCAAGGAAATTGAGATAAGAACCTGCTGCAGCCCAGCAAACTTGGGTAGCTTGTTGGTCACCACAGACTGACTGCCCCAGGGGACCCCACGCTTCCCCGTGGGGGAAGCTCACAGGGAGTCCCCAGCACCCGCCACTGGTGTACACTGTGGCTGCTTTTCACTGCGCGGGAAGAGGATTTAAGTCACTATGGGAGAAACTAATGTGGCACGAGTGCTGAGATGTTTGGTTTGTTACCGCATTGCATTGGACATGAACAGGCTTTGTTGGGGGTCTGTGTATCTCCCATTTGTGAACGCTGAAATAAAAGCAAAGAGCACAACTTACACTACTGCTTGCCAGAAGCAGCTCTCTCAACCTACTGAGCAGTGAGGAGGAAGAAGGGATCAAATCTTTCTTCCTTTACTTCTTAGAGGGTCTGCTTTGAACACCAGAGAGTCTGTCTTTGTCCTGGTCTACATAAACATGTATTGGAGGCCTAAAAAAAAACCCAGAGGAGGTCTGCTGAGGATAACCTGTAGCGGGGTGGTGACGTTCTCAGGCTGTCCCGGGCAGCCGTAGACAGGCATTCACCAGAGCCAAACGAGCGGGCCTTGGACAGGGGTCTGGCTGGGTCTGTTTCCAGCTGCAGCCCTCGCTGCTGCATCCCACCCTGTTCTTGGGCACGTCGGGGCGCATCCTGCCCGTGTCCTGCAGGAAATGCAAGCGCTGTGTCTGTCTTGCACTCCGACAAGGTTGGTTGCCTTTAAAAGCAGGGATGAGCAGGAAAAGGCTTGGGGCATTCCTAGCACATTTCAGCCCAGATACTGTAAATCATAAACGCCGCTCTCTCTCTTTTGCAGAGGCATTTGCAAATGGAAAGGAGTGCAAACAAGCAGGTTTCACATTTTTAAGTAACAATTATTTCCAGTCGCATCTGCAGTTTCTCCCATTTCCTACTCATCTGCTCTCTGTAGCTAGACTTCTTTTGAACTGGAATTTCAGTTTCGT